ATATGTATAATAATAATAATTAAATATAATATATTATATTATTAAATCAATTTAACATATAAATTTTAAAAGACGACATAATTTCTAAACATTTAACACTCCCTTTAGAAAATATTGAATATCAAATAGAATACAAGAAATAGAAAGAAAGAAGGTATGATTATGACTGGGACTGGGAGGCCCAGGACGGGTGATGGGTGTCAATAACGTGGGAATAACATGCCAGCATTTTTTTTCTGTACGGACAAGGACAATAAAAAATTCATAAACAATAATATATAAAATAATAACCACAATGATTGTGACATAATGGTCAAGATTCTGAGAAATATGGTATCTGTCTAGAATTTGATTTTAGGCGTATACAACAATTATGACTAATAAGTTTATTAGAGTTGATTACTTGCGATTACAATTTATCTATGCCTCGACACTTGTTAAAAAAAGACGTACAAAATCATAAATCAAGAAAAAAATTAAGAAGACACTACAAACAAAACTAGTTTTATAGGATGTCTAAATTGTCTTAGCGCCTTAACGGAATACGTCATATAACTTAGATTTATAAGATCAAACTATAAAGTAGCCTTAACGGAATACGTCATATAACTTAGATTTATAAGATCAAACTATAAAGTGTTCAATTTAAAAGTTTTACAACATGTTTATAGGACGTGTTTAGGTGTTTTAACAAGTTTTTTAAGACTCTTTGAAAATAAAAGTGTGTTATTAGTTATTTTATATGACACTTTTTCCAATAGTGTGATATAAAATATTTAATACGACATTTTATTTTAAAAACATCTTAAAATATTAATTAATACGTCTAAAAATGTCCTATAAACATATTGTAACAATTTTTAGATTTAATTCTTTTTGGTTTGATCCTAGATACTCAAGTCTTATAAATATATTTTTTTTAAAGATGAATCTAACATATTAACCATCCTAAGGTTTTACGTAACATTCCTTTCTTTACGGGATGAAATTTTTTGGATAACCCAGATTAACCCTAGGGAAGCAACCGGAGCAATCAATGCAAAACCACTAAAATGCCCGAACGAGGGTTAGCATGTGAAAAGGACATTTACGGGATGAACTTGACTCCTTGCAACTTTAGAAATTAATGCAAAGTAAGGGGTTACTTGTCGTAGACGGACCTAGAGGGGTGGTTAGGTGGCACCCTCCGTGGTAAGATGAAAAAAAATTAGGTTCGTGAAAGATGCAAGCGTTTTATTTTAGAAGGTGCAACCTTTTTATATGGTGTCACCATACCCAAAAATGTTTGGGTCCATCCCTAATTGTGTTATCTTACAACTTTAGAGATGAAAACCAAAGTTTTGATAAACTAAAAAGACATTTTTGTAATTTACTTTGATCAATACGTTAATCGTTATTGGTTTGGTGGATTATGACTAAATCGTAGTAATTATTCTTCAATTCTAACTTATTAACAAAACTCTCTTTAATTCTTTTGATTTTGATTTCTTTCATATTACCAGTTATTAATAACTCATTTCGTTTACCAATCTATAGATGTTTGAAACGGGCCTGGACTCTGAACCAGGTCTCTAACCGGTCCCAGAGCTACCACTACCAGCTCGTCTTCGGCCTTGGCATTAGTATATATAGTGATGTTTTCTTAATTTCAAGAACATCGACCGATTCTTGATATACAACCAGAGCTATTGACTCATTCCAACGTGAAGACTCATCCTTTAATATGAATCAGAAATCGATATGCAACTATCAAGTAAGTTTACTTTTATGTTCTTGTTATAATATAATTACTTGATTAAATCTTGTTTACACGTTTGGTTCGATTAACATTTCATAACATTTATATCATACCCTAACTTAATTAAGATAACTAATACATGCAAAATGGGTACAATATTTTTAGATCCGACTTATTATAAACATGAGGTGTCTTATGAGGAGTTTATTTTTTCCTTCAAATTTGTTTATTACTTGTCGCTTGTGTCTCTTTGTAGCCTAAACTCAAGTGATCATTCATCGTATCACTTCCATGTGAAATCGATACTTTCTATTTGTACATATATCATGTTAAGAAGGTATGACTTATTTACTTGTAGTAGAGAAATGTTTTAATAAGCCATTTTAACTAATGAAGAATTCGATTGACAGGAAAAAAAGGCTTATCTTCTTTAATCTAAGCATTAAGAATGATATCGACTTTGAGAATTTTCTTAATGCGACCTCAACCAAAGAATCATGGGACAAGTTCCAATCTTTTCATAAAGGAGTCGAACGAGTGACTTCGTATTCAAAATGCTGAGAGAGGTGAAGTTAAATTACCGAACAACCATAAATATCGTTATCATCTTACTAAAAAAAGCATGGGAAAGAACAACTCATTAAGTTACAACTTAATGATAAAGAAGAAAACAAAGACAATTAGAGAAGCCGAATCCATATGAAGTTTTAGGGCTAAAGATAGTGGATTATAAACTTATTTTATGAAAGAAATCCATCATGGAAGCCCAATCCATATGTGGGCCCAATCCAAATATAATAAAAGTGAGTTGGAGAATTTCCAAACAAAAGTTGGGGGATTGATAGTGACTTTGTAGTTTGTAGTATATAGTGGAGGGATTAAAGCTAAATTCACGTTTGATATCCAAATAAGATAAAGGATATGGTAGAACTGGATAAAATAAGATAATTACCAATTTACCCTTTATGAATTGTTTAGTGTTTTTCTTTACCAAATAATCAATTTTAAAGTTCGAACTGTTCCCTCTTTCTCTGCCCTTCAATCTCTCATCCTCTTTATTATTTGGCTAGCATTGTATATACGTAGCATGTATAAATAGGAGGAAAAGAAAGGTTGATACAAGCTCGGCTGAGGTTCAGCTTTCTTTATGTGGCCTCAAGCACTCAACCTATAATTTCCTTGCTAACTTAGCTCAGTTTAGGCCAAAATGGATATCTAACCCAACACTGTATAACACAAAATAAACTCCATGTGCTAATTTAAACCTTTATATGTAATACTTTATTTTTCTATAAGATGACGTATTTTGAAGAAAATGACATGTTGGCTTTATAATTCTTTTACTATAAATTTTGTATATTAATTTGAACTCGTTGATCTATACGAGTTTCTTAGGACTCCATCTAACGACTTCTCTATATAAAGAATGATAAATATTTTACGATCTTGGAAACCAACTGTTTCATATGTTATTCCTCATAACATTAGTGTCATTCCTCATAACATTAGTGTCATACATTTTAATTAATCATAATATCATGCATTTCCATGAATATTACATATTTTAATTCATAATAATTTTCATCGTCAATATAAAGTTCTCAATATACTTACGAAGCTCTATTTAAAAAATAATATTTTAATTTAATTCACAATTTAATAGAATTTTATATTATTAATCAAATATAGAATTTCATTTGTTGACAAAATAAGACAATAACCAACATAGCAAGTATTAAACGTAACTTATGGAACACAATATTTAAAATTTAAACTACAAGGGTGATGACTGATTGGTTTAAGCTTGATTTCAAAGGTCAAAAGTACCAGGAGGTCTCAAGTTCAAATCCAAGTAGAAAAATCCCCTTGTGGCCATGGAGGTTCAAATGCGATGAATCTGGTCTATCTGCAAAGCAGGTGGTCGCCTAGGGATTAATCAGCTCGCATAGCGGGTTGGATATCCAAGTTAATAAAAAAAATTAAATCTAAAAAAGTTTATTTAATTTTAAAATTTAAATTTTGAATTTTTATCAAAGGAATTTAATAGCAGAATTCAAATTTCTAATAATACTATGATTTGGGATATTCACATAATAGTATTAGGGGTTGTGTGGTTACCTCTTAATAGTTATATTAAGAGGTTGTTTATGAATTGTTAAGAGGTGAATCTTGATTGACAAAAAAAAGTCTGTCTCTTAATGGTTCTAAAACCATCTGAATGATTTTGTATCATAAGTCTCTCCTAACCATTCAATGCTCTAATTTCACTGTAAACAATTACCAAACAATTATATTTTATTTTACATTATATCATGAGAGTCTCTTAATCATTTTGACCACTTAATCATTTTGTACAAAATCATTCAGCAACTGCTAAACAACCCCTTAGTTATTTGAATAGTTGAATAGGTTATTCAATTTTCACTTTGTGTGTTAAAAGTATAATCATAAGCAAAAGGATCAATTAAAAGTTTGATCCAATAACCGAAGATCATCAAATCTTTACCCCGCCTTTACTCATCGTCAACAATGTGATCAAATTATAACGACCTAACGTAAATTTTATGACCAAACCTAATATTAGGAACGTGTTTCCAATGAATATCTAAGGTAAAGAGTACATAAAAACTTTTGAAATTCGATTTCAGTTATTTCTTTTAATAAGGGGATGTTTCGGATCGTTTATTTGAAACAACTTATGTTTTTCTAAAAAAGTTTTTATCAACTTATTATAAGTTAGAATTGTTTTACTTCTTCAAAAACTCTTTATTACTTGTTTGACACCGGTATAAGCTGTTTATTCAAACACTCAAATTGCTTATTACTGATGTCACAACGAAATAAATCAATAAATTGTTTTCATAATCAATCTCAAACACCCCTTAAAAAAAGAAAGCAAAATGTATGTATTTGAGTATGGCTGGTACATATATAGCTTGAAAATGTGTGACAACTTACACATGGTCGAAACTTACATGTAACTTCTCAATGACTTGGAAGCATTTTATTCCAATGTGCAACAAAACCAATATTTTAAATACAATATTTCTAATGTCCACCTAACCAAAATTTGAAACTACATGTCTTTTTCGCCATTGCCTACCAAAGGGGCTAAGTTATTGATCGAAAGTCAGTACGGTAAAGAAAGGCGGCTTAACTCATACCATTCTGTATATAAATACATGTAATGGTATGCTGAAGCTCTCATCATCAGCCATTGAATTCAACACCTACACAGCAAGCTTTAAAACTGAAATTGGCTCCAGTTCTTGATCAAGAATCATGGGTGCTGGTGGCCGTTCCAATCCTCGTGATCTAGATGTTAAGAAATCTGGTGCTGAAGGTATCAAAAGAGCCCCAGTTTCAAAACCTCCGTTTTCATTAGCAGATATCAAGAAAGCCATACCACCCCATTGTTTCGAAAGATCTCTGATTCGATCCTTTTCGTATCTTATATACGACCTCACTGCGGTCTCGATTTTCTACTATCTTGCCACAACTTATATCCCGCAGCTCCCCCACCCTCTTTCTTATGTTGCCTGGCCAGTTTACTGGTTTCTTCAAGGTTGTGTGTTCATGGGGATTTGGCTTATTGCTCATGAATGTGGTCACCATGCTTTCAGTGATCATGTGTGGCTGGAGGATTCAGTAGGGTTTGTTTTACATTCTTGCCTTTTAACCCCTTATTTCTCATGGAAAATAAGCCACCGTCGTCACCATGCCAACACTGGTTCTCTTGAGCATGATGAGGTTTATGTCCCAAAAACAAGATCAAAACTTGGTGCCTCGGCATTTTACTTGGACAACCCTATTGGTCGAACCCTAACCCTGCTTGTTAAACTCACTCTTGGATGGTATATCTACTTGGCCATCAACGCTGCCGGAAGACCTTATGAAAAATTTGCGAGCCATTATGACCCTAGAAGTGAGATGTTTTCCGACAGCGAGCGAGTTTTGATCCTGATGTCTGATATCGGACTCATAAGCTTTTCTTTCTTGCTGTACAAAGTGGCGATGATTCAAGGGTTTGCTTGGGTGTTCTGTGTGTACGGAGGTGCGTTGATGGTGATGAACGCCTTTCTTGTGACAATCACATACCTTCACCACACTCACCCTTCTTTGCCTCACTACGATGATTCGGAATGGAACTGGATGAAAGGTGCGTTCGCCACCGTTGATAGGGATTATGGAGTTCTAAACAAGGTGTTCCACAACATCACTGACACCCATGTTTTACACCATCTGTTCTCATACATTCCTCATTATCATGCCATGGAAGCCACAAAGGCTATCAGACCGGTTTTGGGAGAGTTCTATCAAATCGATAGAACTCCATTTTTCGTGGCGTTATGGAGAGAATCAAAGAACTGTTTGTTCATTGAGGCTGATGAAAGTGATGAGAAGAACAAAGGTATCTACTGGTACAGAGGTAAGTACTGAACAAGAAGTAAAAGAAGGGAAATTGTTATTACTATTCCATCAAATTAGGATCCTGTAATATATATTTCTACCTGGTTTCCTTCTTTCACAACGATGTACTTTCATCTACTGGCGTTCATCAATAAAAGTATTAGTCTACAGTATGGTGGCATCTGGTGTGGCTAGTTTCAAGTCACACCATTCAAATTTAATGCGATCTTCAATTTCATTCTCCTTTTTAGGGATTTTTGGGATTGATTATAAAAACAACTTATTGATTTATTTCGGTGTGACATCGGTAACAAAACTCAAAAACTAAACAACTTATACATGTATCAAACCGGTAATAAAGAGTTTTTGATAAAGTTAAACCCTTCTGACTTATAATAAATTGATAAAAGATTTATTTGTTTTGATTTTGTATGTTTTGAGATTATGGACTCGTGAACAGAAATTCTCAAAACCATTCAAGAATAGATATCGATACGTGGATATCAAATAAAATACTCAGTTTTTTATATAATTTATTTGATGATATATATTTAAGGTAATTCTAAATTAAAAATGAGATAAATGTACACATATGAAGTGTGTCAGTTAGATATCAATTATTTTAAAGTTGATGGTTTAAAAAGTTAAATAAGTTAGTAGTATTTAATCTTAAAACATGTGCATTAATAATTAAAGATACATAATGCTTGATACATTGTTTTAAATAGTTTTTCTCAAACATGTCATGAAATACTAAATATAATAACCCACTCGCTCTTATTTTAATTTGATCTTGGACTTCACAAGAAAGCATGGTCTGAAGCATTCTCATTAGGTTCAACCATTTCCTTGTATAAATAATTTGTACATTGTGTAAAATATTTTGTAATTAAGAGATTTTTGAATTCTTGCATAAAATGATGGTACTCTATGATTTAAGACTTGTACTTAAGATATAGATTTAAATTTTTATTAATGTAGTATAATATTGATATATTGATATTGATGTTAGTTTACTGAAAATTACAAAAGTAAATAAACTTGGGTTAAAATTATTTTAAAATAAACTTTATTTTTAAACTTGAGTTTAGCTATATTTAGCCAAACTCTATTCACATCGAATGCACACCAATGAGCTCACTCCTTCTTTCTCAAGTAGGCTACTTTTTCCGGAACGCAGTCCGAGATGGATAAAATTCGTAGGAAAGGAGAGATAAAAAAAAGGGGAAGGTTCTGTTGAGAGAAATTGCATCCATCATTGTCGTTTTATGTGGTTGAGTAAGACGGCGTAACTGTATGAGACAGAAACTCGTCCAACGGACTTAATGTCTGAGAATGATTTGCAGTTTTTGGAGCCAAGATCAATCTTTTAACTATGATTAGGCTCCGCACTGGTAGAAATTGGTGAATCGGGCGTACTTTCATTATCAGGGTATTTTCGAGGGGTGAAAGGTGCATGTGGGGTTTTCGTACACGACTTAAAGAAAGCATTTCAGGCATTTCTTAATGAATAGCTAGATGGTCGCTTACCAAGCCATCTTGACAAGCTCCTCTAGTTCGATCCGATGCAACTAGAAGTCAGTCGATTTCGTCTGAGAATGGTTCATAAGGAAGGATGATCTACCTCTGTTTTTTATGTGTTACGCTATCATCTTGTCTTGATATCATGATTTTACCTAGCATTGATCCTGAATTGATTATGGTGGTTATGCCAGATAAAGACCCCCATAATAAGTAGGAGGATACGCAAAAAAAGAGCTCTTGAACTTTATATTCTTCTATATAGTCAGTTAGTTGCCCTCATTGCCAAACTTTTAATCAGGTCGAAAAATTCTTGTCGATGGGTAGAACCAGTATATATATATATATACACATTCATTTCTCAAATTTTCATCTTAATACCAATATGAGACAACCTAAACAACAAAATAATTTTTTTGAAAATAATTCAAAATTAGGACAGAAAAGATAAACCTCAATAGAGGCTTCTCCTTAATTCATGGAATAATCTTTATATATATATATATATATATATATATATATATATATGATTGTTAATTTACTAAAACATAAAAAAAATTGGGTTTGAAATCATTTTAAAATAAATTTTATTATTAAAATTGGGTTTAGCTATGTCTAGCCAAACACTATTTCACATTATATACACACCAATGAGGATTCTCCTTAATTTATGGAATAATTTTTTTTTTCTCAAAGCATCCATTATGTTTTTATATATTTATCATCTTCTTCCTAACCATCATTTTTTCCCTAATATGAGATGATGAAATTCAACCTTATTTCAAGATTTGATAACACTCAAACCTCATGTTATCTAAATCATCATCCTTGGTTTCACTCTTAATTTTGCACAATAATTTTTACCATTTGATTGGTTTTGATTCCAACCATAGTTATAGATCTCAAAAAGATTCATTCAGAATAAGACAACTCTATGAGGTAAACCCCATGAATTGACACAAAGGCATCCAATTCATCTTTTTTATACATTTCATTTTGTTTAAATTTTCAACTCTTCGCCAATGTGGAGAAACTAAAACTCAACCACAATTCATCATCTAAAAATATTCAATTTTCATGGTATCACATCAATACCCCAAGGTTATATATATATATATATATATATATATATATATATATATATAAACCAACCATTGTTATAAATTTTAAAGATGGTCATTCAAAAATAAGACAACCCTATAAGTACCGTTTTTTATTGAAGACGGTACTTAACACTTTTCTAC